CGCCCCAGGCCGCCCAGCCCGGCTCGCGCTGGACTTCATTTACATCCTGACACTCGGTGCCAACTTCATTTTTGATGCATCTGATTTTTTTTAAACGAATACTACACCAATATCATTGATTCTTTAAAGCACCAGCCGCGGCCAGTTTGCTGTACAACACCTCCCGACCGTGGTCCCTCCCTTCTAGCTGGGGACCCAGTGGCCAAGCGTCCTCTCCCTCTTCTCTTGCCTGGGGGGCTGGATCTCCAAGCTCTCTCAGCCTGGCCCCGGCTCTGCCTCGAGGGCGGACATTTGGTCTGGAAGTAAAGACAGAGGAACAAGCAGTCCTGGGACCTGGGAGGGGACATTCCTGGTAGAGGGAAAGTCAGTGTCCACCACTCAGGCCGGAGGAGCAGGGATAGCAGGGAAGCCCGGTGGACATGCGTGGAATGGGGGCCAGTGGGCCTTTGTCTGGAGGGCCAATGGTCATCCTGTGCGTGCGGAGCCTCGGGAAGGCCAGGTGGGGGTGGGAGGTGGGTGGAGGAGAAGGATCCACCTCCTCATGGAGGTCTAGAGCTCACTGTGTGGAGGACAGAGCGTGGGGTGCCCAGGCAGAGGCCCTGGGGCCAGGACCAGGTGGAGGGAACCGGCCATCCCGTCTGTGCTGAAGGTAGGGATGGCATAGCAGGGAGGCTCCCTGCAGGGGACTGGTGCCGTGTGCAGAGGCCATGGGGACCAGGGAGCTGCCGAGTCTTTCCTTTTTTTGGTACTGGGGACGGAATCCAGAGGTGCTTAACCTCTGAGCCACCTCCCCAGCCATCTTTTGTATTTTATTTACAGACAGGGCCTCGCTGAATTGCTGAGGCTGGCCTTGAACTTGGGATCCTCCTGCCTCAGCCTCCCGAGCCCTGGCAGAGGAGCAGGGTCTGCAGGGGACCTGGTGTTCTCCTGCAGGCACGCTAGCAGGAGAAGCCTGTTGCCGTGGTGGAGAGAGGCAGGGGCAGGGCCAGAGAGAGCCTCAAGGAGACGTGGCTTCCTTAGAGTCGGCCTTTGCAGTTGGCTTGGGAGAGAGCAGAGGCCCGGGTGACTGGCGCCACTGGTGAGTGTCCACTCCCATCAGCCCCGGCTGACCTGCGTAACCCAGAGGAGGTGGTGGAAATGGCAGTGTGTGATTCCTGAGGCTAGATCCAAAAGGGGCCCGAGGCTCTGGAGGGAGCAGGGGACAGTGGGCGGGAGTTGGAGAGAGGGGAAGGGTGCAGGCCACAGGGTACAGAGAAGAGCAGACACGGCTCTGTGGCCCAGCCAGCAGCGGATGGCAGGGAGCAGTGGGGCCAGGCAGGCAGGGCCACCTCCTGGGGGCTCCCGGCTCGTCCTGCAGCCCAGGTTTTCCCCTGAGGGTAGAGAAGAGTTTTCAGTAGGAAATGAAGCAGGTTTGGATCTGCCTTGTGTAAAGGTCACTGTGTGTGCAGGTGTGGACAGAAAGGAGGACAAAGGACGCAGGAAGAGGGTGACTTGGGTGGCCCAGAGAGGCGGCTCCCCACAGGGATGTCGAGGGCCCCGAGGGAGGGCGAGGCCCGACAGCAAGGGCCCGGGGTGGAAAGGACATCGACTGAACACTGAGGTGGGCAGGAGAGACCGGCCACGGGGGGCTGTTGGGTCTGGGAATGCTCCCGACAGACAGAAGGCAGTCACCATGCAGGCACACGCTGGTCACCCCCGCAGCTGGGGAGGCTGAGGCGGGAGGATCGCGAGTTCAAGGCCAGCCTCAGCAACTTAGCCAGACCCTGTCTCCAAAAAAAGGTGGGGATAGGGTGGGGTGGCTCAGTGGTCAGTCACCCCTGGTTGTATCCCGGGTACCCCCCAAAATAAATAAGTGACAAAGCGACTGTGTTATTATGAGACAGAGGCCGTGTGGTGCTCTGCCAGTCCTGCCTCAGAATGTCCCACTCAGGAGCTGACCGCAGCCATTGCCCCTGAGCAAGGACGAGGGCAGCCGGTTCACCCTGAGGGAGACCCCATGCAGCTGTCCTCTGAAGACTCCCCATCAGCCTGGAAGCCTGTCAGCAGCCCTGGCCTCCACTGGCTCCTCCAGGCCCCGCTCCTGCTGCTGGTCTCAGGAACAGACCACTCCCCTGGCTGCCCACCTCCTGGCCAGTCCCTGCTGCGCTGAGGTGGGTCTGGGCACCAGGGGAGCGTGGGCAGCTGTCCCGCCAGGACAAGAGCAGGACTCCAGGTGCAGCCCTGCTGAGGGCGGGCCTCTGCACCCCCGAGGTGGCCGCTCAGCTGGTGTGGCCGCTGTGTCACACAGACACAGTGACACTGGACAGCGCTGCACGGGCTGAGACTCTGCAGAGGAGCCCACGCAGAAGCCCACTCACCTCTCCTCCCCGTCACTAGGGTCACGTCTGAGGCCCCAGAACACCAGGCGCGGGACCACCAGATGGCCCAGCGTCCCCACTTCCAGGTCTAGGCCCACAGAGCCGGAAACGGGGGTCCTGTCGCCCACATTCACGGCGACACCTAGCACAGAGCCCCAAGGAGGTGGCAGTTGATGTCCACTGCAAGGTCCCCTGAAGCACAGGGTGCCCAGATGTCCATCCATGCAGAGGAGGGAGATCCGGACACCTCTGCCACCAGGTGAACCTGGAGGACATTGGCTGGTGGTGACCTCTGTGTGCGCCCACAGAGGCCGGTTCAGGAGGCTGGAGGAAGGAGGGTGGGTGCCAGGGCCGCGGGGGGAATGGCCTTGCTGAGGGGTGCCGTTGGGCTCCTGTGACTGTGCACCTGAGTGAGGCTCTGCGGGAGGGTGCTGACCTGGCAGGCGGAGGCCCAGGGCATCCCCAGCACCGCCCACCCCCCACCCCAAGCTACAGTGCTCAGTTGTCTTAACCACCTGCAGGAGGCCTGCACCTTTAAGGTCTTCCCCACCCCCAAGTTGTGGCGGGAACCTTTTACCTGGCGGCTGGGGCCGGGGCGGTTACCATGGAAACCGGGAAGGGGCGGGGCTGCGGGAGCCAGGCCTGGGGCTGGAATGCTGGGTGCTTGGCCAGGAGTGAATGCCTCTTTGTCCAGGTGAAGGTGGCTCTTCCTTCCTGGGCAGGGAGGACTGCCCCGAGGACGCACTCCCACCAACTGCCCCGGGAGCCTTCTAGGAACGGGGTGTTACCCACGGGGACCTCAGGATCTCCACCTGGGGCCTGGGGGTCTAAAAACAGGGATCCTACCTCCAACACTGAGTCAGACGCAGCCATTGGCTCACGGCTGATGGGCTGGTTCATTTAACAGTGACTCTAACTGTGGACCAAGGGTAAACAAGCGCCCACGCTGGGCGTCGAACCCAGGGCCCTTAGCCACGGAGCCACACCCCGGCCCTTTTCTTTTTTTTTTTTTTTTTTTTTGTTGTTAAATACTTATTTTTTAGTTTTTTTAGGTGGACACAATATCTTTATCTTTATCTGTATGTGATGCAGAGGATCAAACCCAGTGCTTCGCGCTTGCCAGGCGGGCGCACTACCACTTGAGCCACATCCCCAGCCCCTCCTTTTCATTTGTTATTTTGACCCAGGTCTGGCTGAGTTCATCAGCGATACACTTAGGAAAGTCATCTATCTGTGCAGTCACTTGTGAACCAGTCACCTGATGCTGCGTGACAAATCATCCAAATGGCCTAACTAGGAGATGCGCACGTCGGCTCGGCCTCCGAGAGTGCCCGGGGCTGTAGTCCAGTGTTGGCCGCAGGGTGCTCCCTCCGCAGCTCAGCTCCCCAAATTCTGGGAGCACTTGGTTCCTCCAGGGCCTGAATCGCGAGGTTTCCGTGCCGCGGCTCCCTCCCAGCCTGCTGGGGACCTCCCCATCTGCCTCAGCAAGTCCCTCTGTGGAGAGCCCTTGAGTCAGGACGGAGTTGCCTGTCATGGTGGAATTTGTCATTCTCCCCCCTGTGGACGGGAGCAGGGACTGTGTGGGAGGAGGGGGACCCCGTGGCCTGGGAGCACAGGGGACCCGTCACACGGCCTTTTACGTAGAGGACATGAGGCGCCCTGTGTGGAAAGTCAGGGAGAAAGAAGGCCCTATGGGGCCCCAAAGCCTCCAACAGGCAGAAGAGGAGGGAGAGGCCGTGGTGGAAGAGGAGGGAGAGGC